CCCTGAGCCGGTGAGATTTGAACCGCTGACCTGCTGATCTAGCAGTAGCCTGCAGTGCTGCATTTAACCACTGCGCCACCTTGGCTCTTAAAGATCAAACGGCTGCCACAATCCCACCACTGAATCCCTTGGGGCAGTGTTTCTCCATCTTGGCAATTTGAAGATGGGTAGACTTCAACTCCTAGAATTCCCCAAGCGGCATGAATTGGGGAAATAGGGCCGATATGAACCTCACTCTCTACTAGCACTGATGAAGTTACCTAGTTTGGTAATGAAACGCCTGCAAGGGGACCTCCGAGCTCAGAGGGCACCAAAGAACCTTCTATCTTTATTCTAAAGTTAGAGGAACAGCATATTACAAGACCGAAAGTATTTCCCCCCTCCTTCCCTTTGACTCTCCAGAAAACTGGAGACGACCCTGTAGGAGATGACCAGGCTGAGATGGAGGGACGAGTCGAAGGCATTATCAGTCATGAGTCCCTTCGCACCCACAAGAGATCTAAGCCCACCTTGAATTCCTTCTAGTCTTATCTCCCGCTAATTCCCCTTGACTGTTAGTAGTTCAGGTTCTTGTAGAGTGCTTAAGCTTGCAATAAATCTTTATAACAGGGGTGTCCAAACTTGGGAACTTTAAGACTTGTGGAGCTGGGGAATTCTGGGAGTTGAAGTCCTCAAGTCTTAAAGTTCCCAAGTTTGGACACCCCTGTTATAAAGATTTATTGCAAGCTTAAGCACTCTACAAGAACCTGAATTACTAACGGTCAAGGGGAATTAGCGGGAGATAAGACTAGAAGGAAAGACTAGAAGGAAAGATGCTTTATAACATCTTTTGAACTGCCATCTCTTGATTTCCTTGGTGCTTGATAGATCCTTTCTGAAACACTTTCCACGCCGTCCCCCTTTCTGTGAGCTGAACCATCTTTTACATGCCGGCGGTCCCTTTTCAGCCCTCCTGTCTCCCCTCCGCAAGGCCATTCCCACAGTCCCTTAGAAGTTCTTAACTGGCCTACATCCAAACCACTCTACTTGCTCATCTCAGACCAACAACGATGCCTTCTGTCCTTCCATTTACAGCCAAGCTTCCTCCCCCAAAGGTGATGAAAACCACCCCTTCCTTTTTGACCCACTTGCATTCACTTTCCCCCCCTCCCCGCAAAGGAAAAACAAATGAAATAAAATTAACTGATACTCGGACATGCCTTACCCCGCGAATATGGGATTCTGCAGCCAGTGACACGCGAGATGATCGTTCAAGTGTACTCCCTGGGCTCCTCTCTGGCTGGACCCCCAGAAAAGAGCTTCCCACCTCCGTCTGCATCTTATCTTCCTTGCGAGGGACCAAAGGAGAAAGATGGCGTGGCGTGATGGGTATCTCTCTCTTGGCTCCGGGCCGGTGCTCGTGAAACGATACCGTGTAAGCCAATCTCCCACAATGCATGGCCAAATCATTGCCACCAGCCCGGAGAAGCACCATGATATCACTGTAACGGTATAGATCTTCATCCTTGCTAGCAAAGAGGTTTATTCTAGGCTGGTTGGTGCGGGGGTAAATAGCGAAGAAGGCTTCTCCTGCCTTCACGTTGGTCTTCAGGAAGGTCCCACGCTGGCGTAAAGCTTCAATCCGCAGTCGAGCGTCGTGGTTTTTATCGTTTTTGCAGAAACCTACATTAAAAAGTAAAATTTGTTCTAAGGAGGAGGAGGAGGAGAAGAAGAAGAAGCTTAGAACATCATTTGTTCTAAGGAGGAGGAAGAGGAGGAAGAAGGAGGAGGAGGAGAAGCTTGAAACATCATTTGTTCTAAGGAGGAGGAGGAAGGAGGAGGAAGGAGGAGGAAAGAGGAGGAGGAGAAGCTTAGAACATCATTTGTTCTAAGGAGGAGAGGGAAGAGGAAGAAGGAGGAGGAGGAGGAGAAGCTTAGAACATCATTTGTTCTAAGGAGGAGGAAGAGGAGGAAGAAGGAGGAGGAGGAGAAGCTTGAAACATCATTTGTTCTAAGGAGGAGGAGGAAGGAGGAGGAAGGAGGAGGAAAGAGGAGGAGGAGAAGCTTAGAACATCATTTGTTCTAAGGAGGAGGAAGAGGAGGAAGAAGGAGGAGGAGGAGAAGCTTGAAACATCATTTGTTCTAAGGAGGAGGAGGAAGGAGGAGGAAGGAGGAGGGAAGAGGAGGAGGAGAAGCTTAGAACATCATTTGTTCTAAGGAGGAGGAAGAGGAGGAAGAAGGAGGAGGAGGAGGAGAAGCTTAGAACATCATTTGTTCTAAGGAGGAGGAAGAGGAGGAAGGATTAGGAGGAGAAACTTAGATCATCACTT